AGCGCAGGCGCCCGTGGCGCCCAGGCCGGGCGCGGAGCCGCCCTGCCCGCCGGGCTGCTCGGGCGCGGGCGGGCCGCGCAGCGAGGGGCCGGCGCACCGCCGGAGGACAGCCACAGCCACCGAAGGGAAGGAGCGGGCAGAGGGAGAGGCGGGCCGGGCGAAAAAGGGAGGGGGGAGCAGAGGGGGGGGGGTTGAGAATCGGCTCACGTCGCTGACTCTCCCGGCGCCTCCCAGCGCCGGGGGCGGCTCTGTATCGAGGAATGGGCCCCTCGGTGAGGCCGAAACCAGCTGCATGCACCGGCGTGTGGAGGGCGCGTCGTCGTCGTCGTCGTCGTATTCGTCGTCGTCGTCGTATTCGTCGTCGTCGTCGTCGTCGTCGTCGTCGTCGTCGTCGTCGTCGTCGTCGTCGTCGTCGTCGTCGTCGTGGTCGTCGTCGTCGTCGGGTTGAGAATCGGCTCACGTCGCTGACTCTCCCGGCGCCTCCCAGCGCCGGGGGCGGCTCTGTATCGAGGAATGGGCCCCTCGGTGAGGCCGAAACCAGCTGCATGCACCGGCGTGTGGAGGGCGCGTCGTCGTCGTCGTCGTCGTATTCGTCGTCGTCGTCGTATTCGTCGTCGTCGTCGTCGTCGTCGTCGTCGTCGTCGTCGTCGTCGTCGTCGTCGTCGTCGTCGTCGTCGTGGTCGTCGTCGTCGTCGTACTCGTACTCGTACTCGTACTCGTGGTCGTCGTCGTACTCGTGGTCGTCGTCGTCGTCGTCGTCGTCGTCGTCGTCGCACTCGTACTCGTACTCGTACTCGTGGTCGTCGTCGTACTCGTGGTCGTGGTCGTCGTCGTCGTCGTCATCGTCGTCGTCGTCGTCGTCGTCGTCGTCGTCGTCTCCGCTCCACGTCTTTTCCCTGAGTCCTTCTCCTCCAACGTTCCAGCCGAAACGACAATTACGGACGTTAAGATTACATCGAAGGGAAGCCCCTTACCTTAGGAGGGTCCCGGGGCTGGGGTCCCGGGGGGGGTCCGGGGGGGGGTGTCGGGCGGGGGGTCCTGGGGGGGGTCCCAGTTCAGAAAACCACCCCTCGGGGGAATCCTGGGGCGTTGTCGTCGTCGTCGTCGTCGCTCAAGGTCGGCGGCACCGGCCGTAAGGCCTGTCCAATGACCTGTTCCGCGATCGGGGGCCCGGCTGCCCGCTGCCGGGACTCTTCTGTTTGGCGCCGAGCGAGGGGGGGAATTGAGAAGGAGGAGGCCTTCTCAGAAGGCTCGGCGCGCCTTCTGAGAGGGCCTGCTCCTTCTGACTTCCCCCTCTCGCTCGCCGCCGATCTGTGGCATCTGGCGAAAGGATTCAGCAGGGGAGACAGCAATCGGAGGTCCGCGCGAATTTCTTCCGTCTGGGCTGCCGCCCCCCCCCTCGGCGACGCCCCTGGCGCGCTGCCCCGCCCGCCAGGCAGGGGCGGGTCGATCGCCAGCCCAAGAGATCTGCGCGGACTCCCGAGGGAGTACGAATCTACCAGTATGTGCTTCGAGCATCCACCGCTTGGGAGTCTTGCTTGGGCTCTCGAGGACCCCATCGACCCTCGACGAGTGGCGACTGTGGACATCTGCCCGCGCCCTCGAGGGCGGGGGGATACCTGTCCACATCCGCCGCCTCCCCGGGGGGGCCCAGAGGCAGGGCCCTAGCAGCCGCGGACGTCAGAGGAAGAAAAAGCGGAACACATATGACCTTTCGGAGGTCCGCGCAGATCTCTCGAGCCTGCGCTGAACCCAACTCCTTGGCGCGCGAAGCGCGCCAGGGGCGGAAAGCTGGAGGCGCCGCCACGGGGGTCCAGCACGGACCCGAGAAATCCGCGCGGAGCTCCCAAAGTCTGTGGTCGTGCAGTTCTGTCCTCGTGGGGCCCTGGCTTGGCTCTCTCGGGGCCCTCGTGGTTGGGGGCCGCGAGAGGGGCCTCTGGGGGTCGTCTTGGAGGCCGCTGACCCAAGAAGCGGGTTCTCAGACGTCAGCCCCCCTCTGGGAGGCCGGCAGCATGCCTCGTGGGACCCTCCTGGGGCGCTCTCGGGCGCCCTGGCGGTCGCGGTGGGCCCCTCCTGGAGCCGCCTCGGGGCCTGGGAGTAGGGAGCCCACAAAGGACGTACGCGCCCAGCAATGCACATGAACACGGCCCCTCGATCCGCGAGACTGGCCGCGTTATACGAACACGTGCGCAATGCGTACACTCGAAACCAGCGTGGATTCATGTACGTGTACGTCCTTGTTTTGCTCCTGAGGGAGGGGCCCCATCGAAACGAAGGGGCGAGCAGTGGAGGCCCTCGCGGCGGTGCGGCTGGGGCCGGCCGCCGGCGCCACGGGCGCGGCGAAGGCCAGCGAGAGCGCCATGGCCCGGGAGCTCCGGCGGGGAGGGGGCGGAGGCCGGCGGAGCCGCACGGGGGCAGCTCGAGAGCGGGGCGCCTGCGGAGGCGGCCGCGCGCGGCGCGGCGGCGCGGCGCTCCCGGGGCGGCGCGGCCGCCGCCCCCTGCCGGGGCAGGCCGCCGCGCGGGCGGCCCTCGCGCCCCGCGGGGGGCGCAGGAGCGGTCCGCACCGAGTGGGCGGGTGGCGCGTCCGGATGGGCTGGAGGGGGTGCTCCCGGGGAGACGTTAGGGGTCATGGAGCGGGGCGGCGTCCTGCACTGCTGAAGCGCCCTGGGCTCGAGTAAATTGCTCTGACCCGCGTCCCCTTCCTCCTCCTCCACCTCCTCCTCCTCTTCCTCTTCCTCGTCCTCGTCATCCTAATCCATTATCTTTCCTGGTGAATACCTCCTCCCTGTCGCATCCCGAGGCCAGTCGGAAGAGCGGGCCAGGCGTTTCGCCAGAGACTTCCTAACCCACTACTGAGCATGAAGCTTATAACTTGGCAGCCGTTTGACAGATGAAGCCGAGTCGCTTCCAAAATCTGGCTCTCGCCTTAGCGCTGCGCACATTCGCTTTAAACATGTGCAAGAGCTTCACGGATTAAGGGCGGGTTTCAAACTGTGGCTCTCGCCCAAGCGCCGTGCACATTCGTTGTAAGCATGTGCAAGAGCTTCACGGATTGAGGTCAAGTGATTTTCAAAGTGTGGCTCTCGCCAAAGCGCGCTGCGCACATTCGTTTTCAACAGTTGCAAGAGTTTCACGGATTGGGGAGAAGGGGTTTTCAAAGTGTGGTTCTCGCCTGAGCGCGCCGCGCCCATTCGTTTTAAACAGTTGCAAGAGTTTCACGGATTGGGGACAAGTGGCTTTCAAAGTGTGGTTCTCGCCTTAGCGCCGCGCACATTCGTATGGAAATATTGGACGACCTTCACGAATTAAGGGCGGTTCCTTTTGAAAACGTGGCTCTAGACTAGGGCCGCGCGCATTCGCTTCACGGACTTGCAAGAGCTTCATCTGTTCTCATGGCTAACGTACCAGAAACGGCATGTTGGAACGATTCAGGATTGTCAGGGCGCACCAGTCACGTTGATTTGCGGCGTTGATGAGCCAGGAAAGACTGTCTCGTACGACTCAGCATCGTCAAGGCGCAACAGTCAGATAAAATCGTGGCGTTGAAGTCCTGAGAACGGTTTTTGGGCACACTTCAGGATTTTCACACGGTTGTTCCCCAACGGGGCACTTCCCTCAGTGGAAATGAGCCCCTGTAGAGGCCTATGAAGAGGGAGGTTGATGAGAGGGTGTACTCGAAGATTGTTGATGAGTCTTGGGTTTACACTGGTCCTCCTCCTCCTCCTTCTCCTCCTCCTGCTCCTCCCCCTCCTCCCCCTTTCTCTTTCTCTCCCAAGTGTTCCCCAAAAGGGGTTCCACAACTGCTGGGGGAACACCTAGTCCAAGCCAAGAGCTTGGCCAGGCTTCGGCTCAAAGCTTGGCCGCGCGGGCGCTTCCTACAGGCAGGAGGCCGCGGCGATTTGAAGCAGGCGTCTTCTATAGAGGAGGCATGGTGCCCTGTCTCTGCTCCAACCTCGAGGTGCTCTTGAAAAACTTCTGGGACAGTCGTTGGCATGCCTTCGTGCACACCTCGGCTCCCTCACGGCATTCCCCAGCGGCCTCCCCGCCCCCCTTCAGGGTCGATAATCGGCCGTAAGGCCTCTCCAACATCGCAAGCCTGGTAAAAGGCAGGATCCGTCAGCATCGAATCGGGAGCCAAACGGAGTCGGAGTGTGCGTCGGATCGGGCGGCATCGGCCCGGAGTTTTTATGCTCATGCAGTTGGCTCTGCCGTGACTCGAGGGAGTGGGTCCTGAATGCCTGGGTCGGGGATCTTCTGACCCGGGTCAATCGAGACCCGGGTCAGCAGGAAACCAAAAAACTGCAATGCCAAAAAAAAACTGCAACGCAGGTCTTCGCAAACCCGGGTCAGCCAATATGTGCGGCCGCCTCGCGGCCACGAACGGCTCGCTAACCCGGGTCAGCCAGAGGGGGTCTTCGCAGGATCCTGCAGGATCCGGTGCCGTGGCTGACCCCCGTCTGCACTGACCCCCGTCTCGAGGCTCCCGACTGGGGCCTGGGGCTGTCTTCCCCGGACCAAGCTCGTCGATCCCGAGCCGCTTGCTGACGGCCCCCGGAGGCCGAGGGCGTGCGCCAGCAGCCCGCAGCAGCAGCTGGGGCAGCGCCCCGGGGCGCTTCCCCATCCAGAGGGCCTGGTGCTGCTCCACGCTGCGGCCACTCAGGAGCGAGAGGCCTCCCCCTGCACCCTCCCCCCGGGGCGGGGATTCCTGCATGACCTCCTCCTCCTCCTCCCTCCTCCCTCCTCCCTCCTCCTCCTCCTCCTCCTCCTCCTCCTCCTCCTCCTCCTCCTCCTCCTCCTCCTCCTCCTCCTCCTCCTCCCTCTCCTCCTCCTCCTCCTAATCCTCCTCCTCCTCCTCCTCCTCCTCCTCCTCTCCTCCTCCTCCTCCTCCTCCTCGACCCTTGGACGGCGCCAGCCCCTGCACGGTGCCGGCTCGGTGCACTGCCGCGTGTGCCAGCAAACCCGAGAGCGTGCAGCGGGACTGGTCGAGCTGGCCGAACGTGCATGGCTGGCGTCGTCCAACGTCTTGGCGCTCCTCCCATGAGGTCCGACGCTCGGGATTTGACTGTGGACTAGCCCCTTCGCGGGAAAACGATCGCGACCGGAGAGTCACAAAGACCACACCTCTCTGCGGCATCTCTCGAGCGGGTTCCGTCTGTGAGGACCCTGGGGTAGGCGATCGTCGTTTCATGATTTACCCATGCCATGCTCACGCACCAATCCCACCATCGGGCCTGCCTGGGGCATGGATAGGAATATTGCCCCAGGCATGGACAAGAATCTGATGCGCGCCATGCATGCTCCTCCTGGCGCCCAGAGCAAGGAGCAGCAGCACGGGCATGGATCGAACGTGCGTCGCCGATGGGTTTGGACGCCCGAAATGGGTACGGAAAAAATGGGTGCAATGCCCAACAACAAATGTTGTCCCAAGCCAGCAGCGGCCGCTGTTGGGCAGGCGGCCTTCTGTCTCGAATGGCCACAGGCCGCGGCGGCGTGGACAGCGAATCCTGCTCAGAAGGAACAGGAACTGCTGTTGGGCATTGCACCCATTCTTTCCGTATGTACCCATTTCGAACGTCCAAAATGGGGGCCCGAAGCAAGGCGGAATCGCCCAGCGTTGAACAACAAAAAAGACGCCTGGACCTCGGGGTCGGCCGCCCCCCAGGCCCGAGGATGCAGCCCCAAGACGCCCTCGGCGGCCCTCGCGCGAGCCATGCCGCGGCTGCACCGCGCGCAGGTCTGGCTCGGTGGGCTGGCCGGCTCCCGGAGCCCTCGCCGCCCTTCGGGGAGGCGCGCGCGCGCGCGCTGGCGAGAGCTTCGCGCCACCACCGCTGCAGAGCGACCACGACACCGAGGGCGACGACAACGACGAAGGAGGCGAAGACACCGAAGGCGAGGACGACGACGACGACGACGACGACGGCGACGACGACGGCGACGACGGCGACGACGATGACGACGACGACGATGACGACGGCGGCGGCGGCGGCGACGGCGGCGACAGCGGCGGCGGCGGCGGCGGCGGCAGCGGCGGCGGCAGCTGCGGCGAGGGCGGCGGCGGCGGCGTCGGCGACGACGACGACGACGGCGACGACGACGGCGACGACGACGACGCGCGCGCGGGCCCGAATTGTGTCGGGCCGCAGGAGCGCGCGGCGCGCCTTCCAGCCGCACAACTCGTGCGTCAGTATCCTGGCGGTGCGGGCCCGCGCGGGTGGTGCGACCGCGGCTACTTCCGCTCCCTCCTCCCAACGCCTGGGGCTCGGAATTCTCCGGCACAAGTGTTGCCAAAACTCGGGTCGGACGGCGAGAGGATGTCGTTAAAGGGCGGTGAACGAATCAACTCCCATATCGATATATGTATATATATGTATGCATGCATGCATACATGCATGCATGTATGTATGTATGCATACATGCATGCATGCATGCATGTATGTATGTATGTACGAATGTATGTATGTATGTATGTCTGTCTGTCTGTCTATCTGTCTGTCTGTCTGTCTGTCTGTCTGTCTGTCTGTATGTCTGTCTGTCTGTATGTATGTCTCTGTATGTATGTATGTATGTGTGTATGTATGTATATATGTATATATACATTTATATATGTAAATACACATGCATACACCTATCTATTTATATATATATATATATATAAAAAAAATGCATACATGCATGCATACATACATACATACATGCATGCATACGTACATACATACATACATACATATATACATACATACATACATACATACATACATGTTTATAGACATGCATACATACAAACATATGATTTCCCTGGCGCCTCATGGCGCCGGGAGGCGCCAATGTATCAAGGAGAACGCCCAGCGGCTGAGCCAAAACCACCTGCATGTAGCAGATGTCGTATCCTCCCTTTCCGTATTCACCCGTCTCGTCCGACCCCACAAACCTGGAAATCCCCCACCCGACTGAGGGCCGAAGTGTTGCGGCTAGGATCGCAAAAGGGGCCATGGACGTCACTTTTTATCTTTTGCGCGCACGTCCCACCCCGATCCACGAAACGCGGGCAAGCCGGGTTTTATGTCTGGGCGCTGCGACTTCTCAAAGGCTCGTGGCACGCTGGCACCTCGAGAGCTTGCGGGCACGATCGGAGATGTGGAATCCAGTCGGATCTTGGATGGACGAAAAAGGAAGATATTCAAGAGGGGCTGGACAATGAGATAACACACTTGGTTCTACTGGCGGCCACAGGCGGCCACTTGCGCATCGAAGAGAGCGCCTGGCGGCGGGTCTGGACACAAATGCGCGCAACAGGGCTCGCAATCGCCCTTCGGGCAAAGATTTTTGCCGGAGGACCAACAGATTCGGACAGTGTGATTGGAACCCTGTCTTGTACCACCGTCACTTGGTCTACATCCTCAGAGGGTCGGATCGTCATCGGTTCGGACATCATGCACATGTTCATCCCGCAAGCAGAGACTAGGAAGCAAGCGTGTAGATTCGCCCGCGCCAGAAGGCGGCGCGCGCACCTTTTCACTCGGTCGCAACCCGAACGCAGCCGCGGCACATGCGATGACCAATGTCAGCGTTCAATGACGGCGGCGGCGGCAGCGGGCGACGGCAGGGACGGAACCACATTACTCCCCCCGTGGCTGGATGAGCAGGCCTAACCACAGCTCGCTTCGGAGTTGTGGGCGCCCAACGCCATCGAAAGCGCGCGCGCTCGCTTGTGCTGCGTTGTGCGCGGGCACAAATTTCGCGCCCGCGCCTGGCCCGCGCGCGGGCGGGCAAGCTGGGCGCGCGGGCCGCCTCCCGCTTTCCTGCGCCGCGCGGCGCGCGGCCCCACGAGAAGGGCCCGCGCGCGCGAGGCGGGGGGGCGTCAGCATGTGCCTCGCGGCGCGCGGCCCCACGCGAAGGGCCTGCGCGCGCGAGGGGGGGGGGGGGGGGAAGCGACGGCACGCGCCTCGCGGCGCGCGGCCCCGCGCGAAGGGCCCGCGCGCGAGGGGGGTGCGTCGTCACGCGCGTGGCTTGTCTGCTCTTCTGCTCGCTTTGCGTCGAACGCCCCGTGCAGGCGCGCCGCGGGGATCGCGTCGGGGCGGTTCGCGGCGCGCCTCGGGGTCGTGCGATGTGCAGGCATTGGTGCTTGCATCTCGCAGGCGTGTGCGCTTGCGTCCCGCCGTGGCGGACGGCGGACGGCGGTGCTAATGTAGTGAAATGGGGCATTCTACCTCCCACAGTCTGACTTTCTTATGGCGCAGGCCAATACGGCTTGTCATTATACGGGCGCATACTGTCCGTCGGCCCCACGTGGCCATGCGGGGCCAATACGGCTTTCGCAGGTGTGCGAGCCCAGTCGGCCCAAGCTGTTGGCTGCTCTTGCACCCAGTCGGCTTCCAACGCTGGTGCAGGCCAATACGGCTTGCTTTCGCACGGGCGCATATTGTCCGTCGGCCCCGAGTGGCCGTGCGGGGCCAATACGGCCCTCGCAAATGCTCCGGCGCAGGCCAATACGGCTTGTCATTATACGGGCGCATATTGTCCGTTGGCCCCACGTGGCCATGCGGGCCCAATACGGCTTTCGCAGGTGCGCGGGCCCAGTCGGCCCAAGCGTCTGGCTGCTCCTGGACCCAACCGGCTTCATACGCCGCTGCAGGCCAATACGGCTTGCTTTCGCACGGGTGCATATTGCCCGTCGGCCCCAAGTGGCCGTGCGGGGCCAAATCGGCCCTCACAAACGCGCGGGCCCATTCGGCCCCAGCGCTCAGTGGCTCTGGTGCAGGCCACTACGGCTTGGCATTTTACGGGCGCTTATTGTCCGTCGGCCCAGAGCGGCCACGCGCGGCCAATGCGGCCTGCGCCGCAGCGTGGGCGCTCCCTTCGCGTCGTCGCGTCACCTTTCCGTCAGCGTCAAGCGCAGCAACGGCTGAGTCTTGTGCTGTGCGCGCGCAACGCACTGCTTCGCGATGGCCGAAGCCGCGCCGGAGACTGTTCGCGCTTTTCTCCAACGCGTCGAGGGGACGGGCGCGCAGGAGGCCGCCTGGTTCGACTCGGTCGCAGCGGCGCTGGCAGCCGAGAGCATCACCGTGCCCTCAGAGCTGGCCGGGGCCAAGTTTGAGGACTTCCGCTTCCAGAATGCCGATCTGGATGGCGGCAAGAAGCGCTGCGTCCGCGCGGCCATCAAGTTGGCCGGGCGCGAGAAGGCCGGCGTTCCCGCGCAGCGCGAGCGGCGCGCGCGTGCACGCTCGCGCGCAGGGTGATATGAAGGAGCTGCAGACGGCCGCGGGATCGGCCAGCGGGGACGCCAGTGCCGCCCTCCTCGCGTTTCTCCAAAAGAAGGACGAGGCTTGTCGACGCGACGGCGCGCGCCCGCCGCCGCGCGACGTCGCGTACGTCGCGTCGCAGGCGCCCGCGGCGGCCCACGTGGACATTCGCGCCACGCTCAAGACCGCGAGCCTCGAAGGCTTGCCCAGCGACCTCCTGCCCAGGCGATGCGCGTCTTGCCACGGCGGGGAGCGCGCGCCATCTTGCGCGCGACACTTGCGGCGCAGCTCCGACCTCGTGGATGAGCTTGCCAGCGAAGTGGCCAAGCTTCGGAAGCGCGGCATCGAAAAAGGTTTCGTCAACGTGAAGCTAGCCAGGTGGCTGCCGCAGCACCTCGCCGGGGCGCTTCGCGATGCCGACGAAGACGAAGCCAAGCTTTCGGAGGACCTGAAAAACTTAGCACAGGCGCAGCGCCTCACCGTCGCGTGCGCTCGCGCCGCGCTTATTTCCTCGCGCGAGGCCATGGGGGCGAAGGCGACGCCCAAGCGCGTCATGCCGACGCTCAGCCAATGGCACCTCGCGTGGAGTCGCTACGCGGCCGGCGCCCACGCCACCGGCCAGCTGAGCTACGCCGCGGCCGCAGCCCATCGCGACGTCTGCATGGCGGTGGGCCTCGGGGCGGCCCGCAACAAGCGGCGGGTGCAGCTCGCGGTCTATTATGACGAGCAGGCCCGCAAAGATTGGGCGGAACGCTCGCGCTCTGGCGACCCGACCTTCGCGGCCCGCACGCGTTTTCTTGCGAATGTGTTTCCGCGCCGCGTTGGCCGCGCCGGTTGCGCGCAGGCAGATCGCGCGGCGAAGCGCGTGGACACCGCCATTCTCAATCGCGCAGAGGAGGCTTACGATGCCGACGAAGCCGCAGCCAAGGCGGCGCCGGCTGAGTCGTCGGCAAAGGGCGGCACCAAGAGCGCCCAGGCCCCCTCGTCGCGTCGGCTCGCGCGGGGCAGCAGCCCCCACTCCCCACCTATTCTTTCGCGCGGCGCGTTCGCAGGTGGCGACGGGCAAAGCCGCCGCGGGGAAGGGCCACGGCTCCGCGAGCGGTGGCAAGAGCGCGCAATGGTCGGGAAAGCGCTGGAACAGCTGGGGCTCGGCGGGCGATTACCACGGGCACAGCTGGGGCGCAGCGGATCGCGGCGGGGAGGTGAATCGCAAGCCGCGCACGCCCCCGAGGGCCGTCAAGAGGGCCCGCCCATAGCGCCGCAGCTCCAGGGCGCAAGGGGGCCGCGGGCGCGCGGAGCACGCGGTGGCGCGCGGGCTCGCGCGGTGTCAAGAGTGACAGCGCGGGGGCCGAACACTTGTCGGCGCGCGGCGCATGCGAATTTAGCCGAACAATAGTCGGCGCGATGCCTTCTCACTCTTCGCAACCTACGCAAAGCAATGCGGCGCGATGCTTGGGCCGGTCCGCGCCGAAATTGCGCGGGCAATGAAACGGCCGACAGTTCGGCTCGCGCGCCATGTCATATTGCAGCGGCCGCGGCACACGCGGGTCGTTCCGCGCGCTCGTGTTCAGGTCCGCCGTTCAGCTTTTGCTGCGACCCGACGCGATCGAGGCTACTTTGTTCGTCGCGTTTGTTTGCAATGCGCGGGCGGCTGGCGCCGCCTGCACCAGCGCCGCCGTCGGGGCGTGTTCCTGCGCCGCCAGCTCCCCCAGTCCGGCGGCGCTCACGGTCTCGCGGCGCGTCCTCGACGCAGGCCCCGCGCGCATCGCGCGGTCCGCAATGTTGCATGTCGAACTCCGCCTTGCAGGCGGCGAACGACTGGGCTGCTCGCGCGCCTCGCCAGGTGAACGCCGACGATGTGGGGAAGCTACAATTCGTCGACGACGCGTGCCGTGAGCAAGTCGATTTCGAGCCAGCCGTTGACGTCAGCGCAGACGTCTGGGCCGCGGT